CTCCACTGCTTGGTAGAAGAATATTCACCCACCCCCAGGGAACGTAGCATGGAACTTTTACTGCTTGTTGTTATTCCACAATCACACTGAAGACATTCTGTGTGCACCTCTAAACCCACCAGCTCCCACCGGGTCAAAAGCAATTCATCAGTTTCTTACTGACCTACTTCAACCTGGGTGTGAACTCCATGACGTGGCAGAGGCAGCAGCTTGCATTTTAGCTCACAAGACCAAAGGCAGGCCAAACTCCAGCACTGAGCTGCAGGCAAAACTGTATCAACTAGCAAAGCACCTTTCATTGTGGCCCAAATGACACCTTTCACTGATTACACCCCAATGACATGTCTAAATCTGCAGCTTTAATTTGCCTGAAGTTGCTCATAAAGTAAATGATGCTTGTGACTCTGCAGAGTCCAAGGACAAAGCCAATGTGCAAGCAAACAGAAAAATAAGGATGAAAAAAGCCAGAATTAGAAAGGTTTCTCCTAGGTAGCAATCAGAATGCTAAGAATTGTGGGAAAACAGTGTTTTAAAATAGTTGAGCCTTGGTGCAGAGGTTTCTTTACAGATGAAAACATCAACTGTTGTTATTCTCTCACTGCTACTGAATATGGAAATAAGGGAAAACCTATAAATATTATGAGCATCTGATATCCAGTTTTTAAGATATGATATTCTATTCAGAGGTACTCCCAAGACACCGATGCCGATTTTGGCAAAGTCTGTAACAAAGGTTGTGATTTCCTGGGTAATGGACAGGAGAGCTAGTAGCTAAACAAGGTGGTAGAGTTTCATGAGCAGTGTATCACTGGCCTTTCAAAGAATGAAAAAAGTAGGGCAGTTCCTTAGTTTCTGAAATGTTACCACTGCCTTACCAAACATGTTAAAAAATATTGCAGGGCAAGGTGGAGATGGCAGAGATAAGGTCACTCACATTTGCATAACCTACATTACAGACTGAATCAGACCATTCTCCCCAGGATGTGAAATTTACTGCTCATGCTTAGTGCTCAACCAAGTCTTACACAACACCTGCTCTTCATCTCTAGCCTCACGTGATGCTTGGCAACAGATGTGTTTTTTACAGATAATTTTTATACCAACTTCGCTGTGTAAAAAAGTTGATTTGAGGAAGCAGTTACATAAAAGGTATGAAAAACCAAACATTAAAAAAGGCAGAAACAGCCATACCTGAGCTCCTTCAGGTCTTCCTTAAAAACCTAGAAAGACAAGGAAGATGAAATTTTACATGATATAGTCTTGAAAGATCATTTCTTACCTAGTGACTTAATAGTGGTTACTTGTTTGGTATATCTCCCCAAAAGTTCTAGCCTTGAGTGCCAGCAGCATGGAAATGACAGGATATATACTGAGAAGAATTTTCAGAAGTGTTCAGTCAAGTTGTGAGAAAGCAATTTTAAAGAGCTAAATGTCCTGAAAGCCTTTATTTTTGAAAAAATGCCACTTTTTGCCACTTCTCTTACGTGGCTATCCAGAACATACACTTAGAGTAATTATGTGCCCTTATTCTCAAATATGTTTTGCAGTAACTGGTTTAAACTACAACAACAGAAAGGAAGTGGCAAAAGGTAAGGTCTGAACACTAAAAGCATTCTTCCACTGTGTTTCCTGCAGTATGGCAACTTTCCCAGTATGCCTAGGTTAATATGAAAACAGTATCAGAGAGAGGTGTGGAAGCCCAGAAGTGGTTCACTCACATAAAAATGAAATAAGATGTAAGGTAAAGGAATATGAAAAATTAAAGAGTCATGAAGAAAGGACAGGGGTTAGGAACACAGCAGGTGTATCCACATTCACACCAGACATCTACAGCATAAGTGGAAATTGCACTTTCTTCCAACTTCCACTAGCACAAAGAACTTCCTTCCTCTATGGCAGAAATATGAACAAAGGCAGGCAAATATGAGAAATTATCAGCGTGGACAAAATGAGCAGTAAGTGTGAACACACAGGGCAAGAGAGTGCTGACGCCTGTGAAATAACACTTTGCTATGGTTTCTTTGGGGGTTTTAATTTAATACTGGAAACAAATATGCACAGTAAATGATGCTGCAACAGAAAATAGATAAAGGAATCTTTTCCCCAAATCTTAAATACGCTTTCAAAAAGCTCACTGTAACTCTACCTAGCAAGTGAAATAATATGCTCTAGATTTATAAGTTTCTTCTGACAACTTTGACTTGGAGCAGCATTTCTCTGTGCAGCTCCCCACTCTGGCAAATAGATTTCAATAGCAACTCATGTCTGATGCAGCTTTTAACTTATCAGGGCTCCAAGTACTCCCAGAACTTACTTCTTGTTTGAAAGTCGATAAGGGGAGTCTCAGTGCTTCTCGGAGAAGGGTATACATGCCAGAAATTAGGAAAGCAAGTTGCTCTTCTGAGAGATTAGCACTTTCTGCAATGAGCTTGATAGATTCCTTGCAGTCTTTTCCTTCCAGTGCATTAACAGTGACTGTGAATAAGGAAGCAAAGCAAGATCCCTTTAAAAAGAGGAAGACCTAGAGACTGAACATTAACATAAACATGTCTATGACTTGACTTAACATAGTGACATTTTCCCTGATGTGAAACTGTCACTCAGGTCTCTGTAAGTACATCTGATCATCCACCACCACAGGTCAGTTTCACAACACTGTACCGAGAGAACTTGAATGGATTAAGCTTTTGCATTATAAAACTGAAGATATTTTCACTGCTGAAATCCATTCCACTGGGATAATGCCAAAAAGAAAACATAATTCATAGCTCATGAGTACAAATCCAACTTAAGCCTCTATCAACAAACTTGTTCACATCAGAATTCTGCTTGCAGCTCAATTATGCTTCTGATACACAGGATAAGACAGGACTGAGAGTAAACAATTCAATACTGTTTTCCAGCACTTTACAGAATTAATCTATCTTGCAATGTCAGTAGAGACTAAGGATTAAATGAGCAAGGAAACAAAACTGAACCTTTAAGTCTTGTAGTTTGCACAACTGCTGATAATACAAATTTTAAAGGAAATTACTGTTAACCTATATGGGAATATTATACACCAATAATCACTGTAGCTTTATCTCAGTCTTCATCATTCAGTTATTCTTCTTTTTCCATATATGCACTGGCTTATATAAAACTGTTGTCATGTCAGTCCCTGCCCTGCACTCTGAGCAGCCTGGATGTGCTGCTGGAGCCACAGGAAGTCCCATTGTGGGTGAAAAAAAAAATTCACTGACACAAGCCCAAAGCAGGATCAGGGCATTAGTCATTTATAATAGGCCATATTAGTGCTGTGAATAAAACATGAAAAGTTAAAAATGTCCACCAAGTGCTACTGAAAGCTAACACTAGAGATTAGCTTAATGCTAACACTGAAAAGTTTTACTCCAACTGTCAGCCTTCCGTTTGGTATTAGGTGAGTTTCACTGGCTATTGTGTCCTAGTTCTGCATAAATTCTCTTTTCTTTTTACATTTTTAAATGCACACCAAATTCAGTGGCAAGTCTTAGATCATTTACATCTCTGAATTTGTCTGGCACCATCTGCACAGCACATTTTGCAGAGAGTAGGTAGGATGTGCAAGGTGCTAGTACAAGCTTTCCAGAGTCTGAAAGAGGCTCTGCTCTGTGACAACAAAACTGACTTTAGGACAAGGCTACTGGAAAGGCCAAACACAGATCAGCACCGAGGTCTGTCTACTAGATCATGCGCAGGGCAGGAGATAGGTCGGTGTCTACACATCTACTTATATACAAGTTTGATCTGTTTCTTCAAAGGACAACAGGTTGCTTACAGTTTATAACTAGGCAGTGTTAATGACACTAGCCTTCTTTCTGTTCACCAACTGTAATAACTGGTTAAAAATCTATGTCTTCTTTTATAATCTCAGTGCATATACTCTGGAGTACAGGACTTTTTTACTCATTAGAGCTCAGGCAACTAAAAAATATCAGTTGTACCAAGAATTTCAACAGTCAATCTGGGGAGAGTGAGGAAAAAAAGGAATAACCCAAAAATATCCCAAGAAAATCTCACTACTGGGTCATTTGCTCCTAGTAAATAATGTCTCAGACTTGCAGTTTAGCAACCCTGAAATAACACTGGATAGATAACCCTGCGATAAAACTACGTGCAGTTTTCACACTGTGAACTGAGCAGGCATATGAAACCACATCTCATTCTTTATATTAGTTATTATTTAGCAACAGAGTAACAGCAACAGCCTCCGAAAACAAACCTGGTGCAAGTGCCAGAGATACTTAGATAGACTGTAGTAAAATACATCACATCTTCAAGGACTATGAAATCTTCAAAGGAAAAAACTGCTGCCCTGGAAGCTGAGTCATAGGCAAGAGCAGACAGTGATGGGAGATTTGTGCCAGCTCTGCATAACCCAGAGGGAGGCTGTGTCCACCTGCTCCAGGGGGAATCTGTGCTGGGATCACTCTCCTGGCTCCAGGTGGTTTGAAGGACTGTCTGCCCCTGCTATGGTATGAAGCATTTATTGCACACCCAAAGGCAGGTGATAATTTACACTGAAGTTAAACCCAGAGAGTCAGACTTCCTGGCACTGATGTAGGTTTTAGTCTTCATTGTCCCTGCACTAGACAGCAGATAATGGTTCAGCATCTGTACTTACTCCTGTCCCCAGTGCCTCTGCCTAGACCTAGCTTTATTACTTCCATTTATTTTAAGGAAACCCTGGATACATTGTTCCATTTCTGACACTCTGTAGCAACACCTGTAGAGCCAAACCGGCTACCAGATGCTTTGAGTCCTTACTGACTGAACTCAAAAAGAAAATCCCTGACGGGATATTAGCTAAGAGAAAATCTCAGGGTCACAGCACAACGCGATGCTGGGTGGCAGCTGCCCTACTCCCAGCTGGCCACAAACAAGCCGAGCTTTTGCTATGCTCATCAACTCTTCCATTACTGTGTCATGATTTTACATACCTGAATTTATTCAGTTGAGTAACTCTGATTTTGGCAGTCACAGGTGCCTTGAGAAAACCTCACCTGCACAGGGAGAAGCCTCACTGGCAAAAATCAACTCAGTCAACCTTACAGCCCCGAACTCAGTCACACCTACACCTTGAGGTTCCTGTAGAGCCTCCTGCACCTTATGAGGACGCCCGGGGTGTCTCTGACTGTCACACACAACGTGACAATGACTGGGCCACCGGCTCTGGGGCACAGGGATGAGTCAGGATGACTTGGGCAGTGCTCAGCGTGTTTGGGGCCACCCGCAGCTCCATGAGGCCGTTCCTCGCTCGCACAGACCCTCAGAACACAGCCAGGCAATCCCATCACCGTGCCTAACCCTCAGCTGCAGCTTCCTGCGGGGAAAGCCGATGGCAGCGCACCCCGGAGCGGCAGAGCCCGAGCGA